GATGAAATTTCATCATTACTCATATATTTTAAGTAAATGATGAACGAAATACCAATTAAAACAACCACATTTGGGCATCCACTTAAAACCAGCAATATAGGAAGGAGCTATTGGGTATGTCGGATTTGAGCATGGATACCCACCAATTGTCGCTGGGGCTTGTTGGTAAACTGGTTGTATAACTTGATAAGGGAGTGCGTATGTTGGGTTAGGAACAGTATATCCCAAATTCTGTTGGCAGTAAGGTATTTGTTGGACTGGGACCTGTGCAACAAATGGCACGACAGGTACCTGTTGGTAGGTGTAGTAAGTCATTTCACTTGAAACTCCCTCACTTTACGCTTTATCTGTTTTTTCGTTCCAAATGTTCAATCTTGCATGACAACCCATCTATTTTTAATAAAAAAACTATAATAAACCAATTATTCAAACCTCACAATTGTTCTCACAATTCATCTTTTAGATTATTAGTTTTTTCCTTGGATACTATTGGGAATTTATAGTAAGCTATATTATTCTGCAACAACGTGAAGTTTCTTTCGACCGCTTTCATTGTGATATTCAAGTCGACCGTTTCGTCAATCTCGATTTCCATCTCTTTTCCTCCGCACTCGAGATCTTCAATATCAAATTGGTGGAAATGCTATTCCTCAATATTTCAATAACATTTTGAATACCAAAAATCGACAAACTGTTTCGAATGGGTTGAGTTGCATATACCTCTTCACGACGTCGTACGGCAAAAATGAATAAGCGCATTCCGCTCTTACAGGTGGTACATAGTTTTCGTCGAGGTCGAGAGTGATTTCTGTTCTGACGAAATAAGTTTCCATGAATTCCTTCCAGACGTGTTTGAGTATGAAGATTTCCTCATCGCCGTTAATGGACATTTTAATATCGAAGAAGCCACCCTCCTGTTGTACGATATCGAAGAGCTGTCCTTCATTCTGTGAGTCTTCAGTTTTACACAATGGGAAGACAACAAAAGTGTCGAAGTTGAAATTACTCGAGAACCCAGCAAACGTTCCGTTTTGGATTTGTGACACCATTTCATAGAACGTGAAAGTAGTGACATTGTCAGGTTCATCTAGTGGGTTAATTCTATACTCAACTTCAATATTAGACACTCTTAAACCCTCAAGAGTCTGTTCCGTTATCACTTCTTGTCGTAATTTCATGATCGTTGCTTTCGACTTCTGAGACACTCCCGACGCGTAACACCTCCACAACGTATACGAGTCATTATTGAAGCATCTATTCACTTCAACATCTAATGAAACATCCCCCACCCACCAATCTACTGAATGCCGTGGGGCACTTTCATTCGTGTTACGGATGATAAACCCCCCTTTGGAATAATTCCCATCTAAGTAACTCACCATCACGTTATCATTCCAACCAACTATAATGCCTGTGTTGATCTTCTCACGACCAGAGAATGCTATGTACTGCGACGTAGCAGAATAAGTCCCATAAGGATCCCGGGCAGGGGTCACTATTCCGGCCGAAAAGTCCTTTTTATTCAAATACACGACTTGTGGGATATCCGGGAAATGGAAGACTAGAGGGACTCGAGTCTTGTTGAGTATCTTCTTTGCTTCGACTATCGAAGTGACCGACCGAACAGACTTTTTGTTCACACTAAATGTGATGTACTCCGTTTTATCGGATAACACACAGCGCTTATAGTCTCTCACACTATTACAAAACTTCTGCAGTTTCCCTTGCTCGAACGTGAATGAGGCGTTGAAGTAACTCTCATAATTCAAATTATTTATACCAGTGATATTACTAATGAAGTCAAATGTAACAGTGTCATTCGCGGTGTCACATATCTTTGAAAACACACCAACTCTCAAGACATCAGCAATCAACCGATTTGCTCTCAAGTCTCCATTAAAATCTCCATATAAAAAGTCGCGAGGGCCGACGATGAATGAAGGCGCTAGGTCGGGGTCAAATCGATCGTTAATTTCGTCCAAATCCGAACACCCCGTTTGTGCTATTAACACCACTATCGACATCATAAGTATTTCCACAAGAATCATAGTACTCCACAAGATGATAATCGGCGCATTCGGACATTGGATCTCTCGGATTTTATTCACAAAGCTTTTCATATTGAATATCGAGTTCATTTTCTCTCAAAATTTATTCAGTCCTGCTTCAATGGAATTTTACATATCGAAAAACTAAATTAAAGAGCTATATAAGAGTAACTAAAGGTGTTAAATCACTTCATTATATAAGTGTCTGAGACGGTGCGGATATTAACGGGGCGTGACGTCAAGACCCTCCCGACACGTCTTGGGCGTTGCTCATTCTTTTTGTCGATCGAAAGGACTTTGTCAAACCACTCTTTGTTCACTACTTGTTACTTTCTTTATCTTCCTCCACTCTCGTAGAGTGACTTCGGAGTAAATAAATAAATAACAAATGTATTTATTTATAAATAGTAAATAACAAACTTTTTTGTGTCGAACGGATCTCCTTTTTAAGCTTCAAAACCTCTCGGTTCTCGTTCATCTTTTCCTGTGTCTTCTCTTTATAACATTCAAGCTTTTTCTTCAGATTTTCATCGTCGGCTTTTTCTTTGTCGGACAGAAGCGCCTCGTCTTCCTCTTTGACAGCCACAACAAGTTCAGATAAGATGTTCACAATAACTTCCATGAATGTTGGGAGAGAGAAGCTGAAGCAATCGAAGAAGTCTGGTAAGTTGAATGGATGGTCGACATTCTCAAATTGTTCAAAGCAGATATTCTCCGCGTTGATCTTAAGAATGGATGCTTTGTTCTGATACATGTCGCAGTAATTCGGCGCGGAGAATACAGTGATACACGGCGGGATGTCTGTGTTCTGTAAGAAGTAATGTAACTTGAACCCCTCCTCCATCACTTGATGCGCTCTCACCACACAAATTAAGTCATTTTTATTCAGAAAATTGAGTAACCCACGGGGACCATATAACACACTTGTTTGTCTCAAATGATTATCAGCAAAATCAGTAGCAAGCCAAGCGTCCAACCTTCTCTTCTCCATAGTTTCCGGATGTTGTGGTTCTTCCAATGGATCGGACCACAGTATATCACAGATAGCTCCGCGGCTTGGTGGTTCTTGGTTTCGTTTTAATTCGTTATACTGCGACAACCGAGTGACATACGGGGAGATTCCTCCATGTGTACAAAAGAATCTGCCCAACGCATTACCCTCGACCAAACACGCCAAGGGGAGTGCGTCGAACAAGTCGTGGATTTCATTGAGTAACTCAGACGAGTGGTATTTATATTCACATTCCAAATTAAAGGTCATACTCTCCGTCATCATTTTCGACTCGTGGTTTCCTCTCAAAAAGTAGAATTGGTTTGGGTAGTTGATTTTGTGCGCCATCAAGAAGAAGAGAACTTCACACGAGAAGTCTCCTCGGTCGACGTAATCACCCAAAAAGACATACCTGTTCTTTTCAACCGGTTTTGTGATGTCAAAGATCGTTAACAAGTCATAGAATTGCCCATGTATATCACCACAGATAATCACCGGAGCATCGACTACTAACATGTTAGGCTCTGCTAATAAAAGTGCTTTAGCTGCTCTAACCAACTCCAGCGCACAGTCGATCGACAGTCTTCCTTCTCTAAAGAAGTGGTTACGCAACATGTTGATGTTTATCTTTCCGTCTTGTTCAAACAACATGTTCTTCTGAAGAGGTCGGGTCTCCAACGAAAAGTGAGTTTGGACTGTCCGTTCACCAACATTCGCTGGGGTGTATTGTGCGTGTGTCTTTGTACTATTTGTCAGATCAAACTGCTTATCTCAACATCTCAAAGATGGGAGACGTCGAGATTATCACTTTAAATGAGATTATAAAGTAATTATAAATGTACTATATTTATATTATAATTGAATCATTAACTTTTTCAATGATTTACTATTATAAAATCAAAAAAATAGTTTAACAGTTTGAAATGAGTAAAAACAAACAACTCACCTTCAGCAGGAAGACACGAAGCGACAGATTCGGCTTTGACTAGTTTGGGTCTTGAAAATTTCTTTTTGTGTTGTACTAAACCGACTGCGTTGGAACGAGGAGAGATTGCTTGGGGACTTAATGACATAACAAATTATTGATCTTAATTTCCAGATGACAAAACTTGAGAGAAAAAAAGAAAACGGTTTTCAGGTTTTTTGGTACTTGTGGAGAACTCTGGTTGTTTTCGCTAAGCTAAATTTTGTCATAAGTTTTAAGAATGATTTAAGAAGATTATTGGCTATTATTCCCGACTTTTTAGAACTTAATTGTGCCGAGACGGTTTTATTATCGTCGAAAATGAGAAATGCTTGATAAACCTAATCTTCGGGAGATTGTAGAGAAGTGTTAATTAGATTTCTCTACAAAAAAATAGGAACTTGGAACGTTTTCATTTACTATAAGAAAAAAAACCGGAACGATAAATTAATATAAATTAAAAGGTTATTACCCGTTACAAAGTAATTAAAGTATTTTAATACAAACAGATTTTTTTTTTTTTGAGTAATTCAAGAAAAAGAAATGTCTTTTCCTTGAAAAAATTAATATTAAAAATAAACTATATACTATTATAAATTTTATTCCTTTAACATTCTCTTTAAAAAAGTATCGATATATAGTTGTTTTACTATAAACAATTGATATTATAATAAAACAGATAAATTAATTATTAATTCTTATAACAATTGAAAACTACTAGTTAATAATAATAATATTATAATTAAATAGTATAGCAATAACATTTTTGAAAAACAGAACTAAGAAAAGAGACAATGGGGTCTATCAATAAAGACACAATACAAACACAGCTGGAACACATGCAATTGAAGTACGTTGGTACAGGTCACCCCGACATTTCTAAATAGTTTGTTATTTATATTATTTATTATTCATTGATTCACAATTGATTCAAACTATTAATATGAAGCGAATGGATTTGCAATCAACAACGCGATTCGTACGCATCTTACATAGGTCACCACTCACTACTCTCTTATATTGCTGTTGCTGAGAATCAAAGCGTTTGCCGAACGAGGTATAATTTTCTCGAACGTATGTGTGACCCATGCGGACGTCCTCCACCAGAGCGTGTAGGGATGGAAGTGACGCTTCAAGAGATGAACGACACCTTCAAATGACTTGTTTTTACTACTTTTTGTTGTTATAAAATGTTATATAAAACATTTCATTCGTAATTCATAATAGTTATTCAAACTATTGTTCCACAATTTTTTAAATAATTATAAGTATTTTTAGTTTGAATTTAATAACACTAACCACACCCAATGGGCTATTTTAATTAACGAAATGAATTTATTCACAGATAAAAAAAACTAAAATAAACTTATTGTTTATTGTTTTTTTATACTATATTTAAAGTGATATTTTTGGTTTTTGATAAACAAAAATTTTGATTTGTTGTTGTTTTTGGTATTTCTTATTAATTAAAAGCTATAATAATTATTATTCAGTTTATTAATAAACATAGTTATTAATATATTATAATAACCATAAATACTTAGAACAAAACTAACAAATATATTATAAAATAAACTATATTGAATGAAAGTATATATTATTATTATAATTATATTATAAAAATATTATGAAATAATAGTAAAAATTTGTAATTCCACACATAAATTTTATCCAACATTATATAAAAAAAATCAGAAACACACTTTTGGGATATTATTAAAAACCCACAAAAATAAAAAATGACTCGAACAAATAAGTCCAATTTTTTGGTCTTTTTGTCGAAGAATACCATGATTCCCAAAACTTAGATTAATTCTAATCGCTTCAATAATAAAAAATTAGATCTGAAAATATAGAATGAGTGAAATCGATTCCGTTGGAATTGTTCTTTGGGGAAAAGAAAAGGTAGGCAAATCGTCCATAGTGAACGTTTGGACAGTTTGTTCGGTGTTGCCATCGCGATCGTTTATATTTACGCTCTCATCGACTCCTCAAAAATACTTCTTTCTTTTTCATGGTTTTATAACTATTATTTTAACTATATCATACAAACTATTCAAAGCTTATAAATAAACTATTAACATTAACACAATAGAATACTCCACAACCTTCTTCATATGACCACCACGAACCCCGCAAAGTCGAGACGGAGATTACAATACCTAAAGGTACGATCAAGCTCAAATTCGTTTGTCATTAGTAAATTGTTCTATAACTCGCAGTTCTATATTCAATAAATAAACTATATAAGTATAGTTCTTTTCTTATTTAACAACCCGCTGACATGTAGTTTGACGTCGCCGCGGAGAATATCGAGGACAAGTCCGTCACAATGGAAACGCACAACAAGTCTGGTCCAATCCAAGTTTTTGTGATGTCTGCGGAGGAGGAGAATGACGACGTTGATTACTGTCGTTCGCTCTATGAGAGTCCGTTTGTTCTATACTCTAATAATAAAAGAGTTATTAAGTAACTATTAGGATGTGGAATGCCGACGATGTGAAAGAGACAGCCATTATCCTGAACAAAATGGACATAGCAAAGAACAACAATGAAGAGCTTTTAAAAAGCTTCTTAGAGAAGTATCCGAAGATCATGTTTTTCAAGACTTCCCTTCAAAATCCCGACGAGATGAAAAAGGCGATAGTAACTATAGTCGATCAGTACGTCACAGACAACAACATCAAGTTGAAAAAAGTCAAAGGTTCCAAGAAGGAGAAACCAAAGAAAGAGAAATCGTCCAAAGACAAAGTATCGAAGGACAAAGGGTGTAAAAACCAATAATCTAGTTTGTTCAGTTTTTGTCTTCTTAGTGTTATATAATTAAGTATTATATAGACATTTTATAGTATACTAGATAATAATACTAATAATAGTATAATAATTATAATACAATTATTTAATAATACTAATATAATACAAAAATAATAATAGTATAGTAATATTCAATAATGAACAATGAAAACATCAATTATAAAATTCGATACATCTGGCATACTCCCCCGACTCAATCGCTCTCTTAGTCTCCTCTTTGAAGTGTTTAAGAGTCATTCCCGCTAAAGTTGATACTTCAACATCGTTCTCCTTTTCTAATTCATATAATGCATTTCCGACCTTCCAATTCTGGTCCATAACATCAACTATATTCACAGCAGTCAACATCATCTCGCGAAGAAGTTGAACAAGTTCGGTGCGAGTAAGACTCTTCCACCCGACCAATCTAGTGTATTGAGCGTCTTGTAATTTCTTGTCAAGAGGTGTTCCTTCGAGTTTGAATCCTTGAATGGAAACGTCGCCGACAAAATAGCCGATGTCGCAGTGGATCATCGCCTCGCGCTTTCGTTCTTCCTCTTCCATTTGCTTTTTCGCTGCGCTCGCCGCTGTTTTGTAGACAGAGAGATCGCCGTCTGGGATCTTTTCGATCTCCATTGCTTGATCAATCGCGTCGACGACATTACGATTCCCCAACATCTTCTCAGTGACCGTCTCCATGAAATTTTCGCCAAACGGTTTAATGTTATTTGCATTGACCCACCCGAATTGATAGCCATCGGCAAAGTACCGGACCAATACGGATTGGTCTCTTTTAGCTTCGATTATTTTGGCTAATGGTTTCTTTTGGTCTTCCGGCAATGAGTCGACTAAGACTAACTTAGCCGGCCACCATGGGTATCCCTTTTGTTTAGCCCAAACGATCGACCAATTTGGTAGTTTGACATTAGACATCTCCTTTGGTGATACATTCATTGGGGAAAGTGGTTTAGGGGACTTTGGAGACTTAGGTGAAGTGATGTTAGTTGGACTCTTCATAGGTTTAGTGACTTCTTTGATTTCAGGAGTTAAGGTGGGAGTCGATATCTTCGGGTCGACTTTAAGTTGAGTTGGAGTTGAGATTTGGGGACTGACGGGGTGTGACGGGACGCGCGGGGAAACATCGGGAGTCATATTTTGAGAGTGTGGGGGAGACGCCGTAGGAGTGGTAGAAAGTGCGTCAGCGGGTTTGTCTTCCATTGAAGAGAATAGTTTGGTGAGATGAACCCTCGAAACCCTTTTTCGAGTTACGCGAGCGAAGATTTTTGTCTTTTCTGATCGCGAACTCCTTTTTTTTTTCTCTTTTTGGGTTTCGAGTTTTTGCGCGCGGGTTCCGATTTTGAGGGGATCAAAATACAGAAGTCCTGCATACACAGAACACGTAACAAGTACTTTAAAAAGATATGAAGGAAGAACTTAAGTAACAAACAGTATTGGGATTGACTTTGATATTCATGTGGTTGTCAGGTATTATGCAAACAACGTGTTTTGGGGTTAACACTGGGTTTTTTGTTTTTTGTGATTCAAATTTTTTTTTGATTTCGGGAGGAATGATGAGGTGGTGAGTACAGATTATGAAATGAAAGTAAAACCTGATATTTTTCGGAAATTCGATGCGTTGTTATCTATTTAATTAAATATGGTTATATTTTAATTGATTTGCATTCAATTGTTTTTTTTTGGAATCATTTGTAGTTATTCTTTTTGAGTTTTAGTGAAAACGTCAAACAGTAGTACAAAATAAATTGGAAGTCGATGAAAGATGGATTTGTTGAACAATTGAGAATCACAAATTACAACCATAAAATTATAGTAGGAAATTAATAAATATTTTATTGTTTTTTTTTCCAAAAAAAAGTCAAAAAAATATTGCATCTTTTTTACAACAAAGAATTTTATTCCCGATTTTTTTGTGATTATTCAACTCATTTTTTTTGTAATTTTTATAATTTAATAATTTTGTCGAAATTAAAAATTGAATTTGATTGTTATTTTATAAAAATTATATAATATTGATTAAATTTGCCGAATTGTTGTTTAATATTTAATAAAATATAATTTTTTTTAATTTAAAGATAATATTTACAAATACGTCTAAAAAAATATTTTTTTGATTTATTGTTGTGGTTTTGTTATTTTTTCCAAAAATAATGGACTGGATTTTCTAATAGTAATATTTTATAATATTTTTATTAAATTTAACAAAATATTATTAAAATTGTTTTTTCCTTCAAATAATATATTATATTTAAAAAAAAAACAAAAATAACCATATATATAAAATTATTAAATTATTAAATAACAAGCGAATGTTTATTTCTTTAATAATTGCAATCACATTTGAGTGGAACTTTTTTTGTAAAAACTAAAGATAATAGTAAAGAATAACAATAAGAATTATACCAAAACGTATTCAAAAAAAGGACGAAAAGCAACGCAAAAATAAACTACCATTTTTTTAGTAAAATTGGTAGTTTCAAGTAGTTCGTTTCAAACAAAAGGAATAACAAAAATATATCTTCGAGTTTGAACTGAAAAATTCAAATGGCGATTTTATTGTTCGTTTTTGCTTCGATTGCTCTTTCTCAAAATGCCGATTGCAAATCACTCACCGGCTGCGCAGATTGTAAAAACGTTGTAGACACTGCAGACCAAACTGTAAAAGTAGTTTGTATTAAATGTTCTGCTGGATATCATTCAACAACTGATGAAACTGACACAGAACAAGTCACATGTGCTTCTTGTAATTCAGACGACCCAGCCGCTTGTGCTGCTTGCTCTGATGCTAGCACATGTTCTCAGTGCAGTTCAGGCTCTTATAAAGACGAAAACAGTAAATGTAAGTCATGCACTTCGAAGTGTGCCGCAGACAAGTGTGCCAACGACAAGTGTACCGAGTGTCCTGCTGGTTATTATGCACCACCCCCAGCAGAAGGTGCAACAGACATCAGTTTGAATTGTGTTGGGTGTATTGCAGACCCAACAGCTTGCAAGACATGTTCCAACTCTACACATTGTGCAGAGTGCTCAGACATCGCATACCTCAACACCGCTACAAACACTTGCCAAGTCTGTGACGCCAATTGTAAAGCAGGTTCATGTCAGTCAACTGGAAAGTGTGACACTTGTGCTAGTGGGTATTGGGTTAATGCTGGTAAGTGTGCCACCTTTGCCCACTGCCCCGCAGATTCACAAGATCCAGTTTTGGGCTGCAAAAAGTGTGATGCAAATTACTTCCCTTCAGCTGGTTTGTATTTTTTAAATAGTTTCATTTATAGTTTCTTAATAATAAGAACTAATTCATAGGTGTCTGCACTCGTTGTGATCTTCATTGTGATGCTTTGTCTATTAATCAGGAAAGTGGATGCACCAAATGTAATCAGGGATACTACCCATCCAATGGTATTTGCAAGGCTTGCGATTCAAATTGTAAGGCAGCGGGATGTAACCAAGAGACTGGTGTCTGCACCGACTGCAAGACTGGATATTGGCCACGAAATGGTATCTGTGCTATTTGCCATGAGAAGTGTGCTGAAGACAAGTGTAACACCACGAAAGGGTGTGAAGCCTGTAAAACAAATTACTTTACGGAGAGTGGGTCTTGTGTGAAATGTTCACCATATTGTGCTGAAGGTAAGTGCGATGGATTAACGGGATGCACTGAATGTACTGCAGGCTTCTATTTGTCGGGTGATGGAAGATGCACATCATGCCCTGAATTGTGTGTTGCAGATAAGTGTGACCAGGTCAAGGGATGTACGGAATGCCAAAAGCCATTTGAACTCCAAACAGTCAATGGATTTGGTATGTGCCAAGGAGCTAAGGATATCCTCATTGCTATTGTCGCTTTTTGCATCGTTGCTTTGATCTAAATCACCGTTTTATGTTCAGTTTGAGTGAATTTTCTTTTTTTGTTAAAACACACAAATAGTTCAGGTTGTTCTTTTTTTTCCTTTTTTTATTATTGAAAGTTGGAATTGAGATGAACTGTTTTTTATTTTTTAATTTTCATAAGAAGAAGTTAAGAATTAATAATTAAACTATAAATATAATAAAAACTATATATTAAACTATATATTAAACTAAAAATAGAATTAAAGTGTGGGAAGTGATTTCAAATAAAGATCCATTGAAATCACTGCTTGGTGAGCATCACCGACCGCATGTACTATATTTTTGGGACCACTTGTACAATCGCCACAAGCATAAATACCTTTAACATTTGTTTCGTACTTATCATTGATAGTTAAAGTGTGATTTGGATTTAAAGTGATACCTGTGGTAGTTTCTGTTTCGACTTCTTGAGAAATAGCTTGAATCACCATATCACATTCAACATAAAATTCACTGTTGGGAATGGGTCTTGGTGCTGAGCGCCCTGTCGAATCTTTCTCTCCTAATTCCATTCGTTGTAATTGAAGTCCAATGACATTTCCATTCTCATCACCGAAAATTTTGGTTGGGTTGCATAAGGTCATCATCTTCACACCTTCGGCTATGGCCTCTTCGACTTCATTTGGAGTTGCTGGCATCTCTTTTGCGGAACGCCGATAGACTATAAAGGCTTCACTACCGAGACGCCGTGCGACTCGAACGGCATCCAACGCTGAAAATCCAGCACCGACCACCGCGACATTCTTTCCTATAGTCTTTCGGACATGGCAGTTGACACTTTCTAAGAAGGGAATGACATGTTCAACACCTTTCAAATTCTCACCTGGAATCCCTATAGTCTTTGGTTTGAGTGCACCAATACCAACAAAAACTCCGTCATATTCCTTTTTGAGTGTTATGATGTCATCCACTTTGGCAT